GCATTTGGGAGTATTTATGGCACATGTAGATGAAGTGTGCACGGGTATAAATATGAGTGCATGTGTACTTGAGTGTCTGCATAGGAGTGCTGTGTGCTCCTGTGTGTAGTTGTGCATCTGGCCTTGTACACATGATGTCTGTGTGTATCACTGTGTCTGTGTGAGAGTGTGTGCATGGGGAGCAAGTGTGTGCGGGTGTATAACGCGTGTGCATGTATGTTTGAGAGCAGGGTGCACACATGTGCATGAGAGTGTTTCCAGAGGAACAAGGGCGACCCCTGCCCCAGCCCCTGTGCCCAGGGAACCGAGCGGGACACATGCTCTTGATAAAGAGTTTAGAGCCCTGGCCTGGGGCAGGTGTTAGTCACACCCAGAGCCCCGTGCCTGACTCCAGGGGCGCCTGCCCAACTCGGAAATAAAATTAACCCCAGAGTCAGCACGGGGGGTGGGGGGGTGACAAGGGAGGGGGGATCAAAAGGGAAAGGGCCCAGGAGGCGAGAAAGGAGTGTTTGTTCCCCCTCTGCTCCTAGAAACTGGCTGGAGCAATTTCTTCCTTTCCCTCCTTCCTCCTCCTCCCTCCCCCCCTCCTCCTTCACTCTCCCTCCTCCTCCTTCTTTCTCCCCCCCTCCTCCTTCCCTCTCCCCCCTCCTCCTTCCCTCTCTTGTCCTCCCAGGCCCCTCTAGCTCCACCCCGATCCCTGGCTCCTCCAGGGGTAGCTCGGAGCTCCTCCTGAGTCACATTCTCCAGCCCAACTCAGAGGGAATCAGAGCACAAGACCCCACCACACAGACGCTCCAGGTTGGGCTGGGAGGGGCCTGCAGGAAAGTCTGCCCCTCTCGCACCATTACAGTGGGCAAGGCACCCTGCTTCTCTGAGCCTCAGTTTTGCCATCTGAAATGGGGGCCTGGGGATTAGACTCAGTCTTTTCAAAGTTTGTCCATGGTAGTATCTCCCTCACCTATGACATCCTGGGACCACTGAGGGATGCACTGTGTCCTCACTGACCACCTGCCCCATGTTCATGGGCAACCAAATCCACCCATGACTGGGCTCCCATGGTCCATAGGCGAAAGTCGCGTGTCCCAGACCGGCTGTGTATGCCCAGGTCCAGCCTGTCATCTGCTCACATCTGTCCCCTGCCTGAGTTTCAGCCAACCAGGCACGGGGGGAAATGCATGGTCCTCACCCCACCCAAGGTAGATGTCATTTGTCCTCAGGTTACAGGCACAAAGCTAAGGCTCGGGGAGGATAGGAACTTCCCCCAGGTCACACCGTAGGCGAATGGGGGACTCCGGGTCTCCTAACTTCAAAGCCAGTTCTCTCTGGCCAAACCCAGACTTGTGTAAGACACCTAATAATACGCACCTAGACCCACCTGTGTGTGGATTGACGTTCACAATTTCACACCCACCTATGCACGCTCAGAGGCACGCGCACACAGATTCACTTTGATGGGAGTTTTCACTAATAGGTGTGTGTACATACGAAAATGTGTGTGTGTGAAGGAGGGAAGGAGAAATGACCACTTACTGAGCATCTACTACGGGCCGGGCATTTCATGCTCATGGCCACCCTGTAGTGTGCGCATGCTTATTCCACGGGGCAGATGAGGCAGTGGGATCCCGAGAGGTTGTTTGCCCGAGATCACATGGCCTGTATCCGTGTGTACACAGCCCCCCAATAGCCCCGCCCTGAAGAGCCTCGCCTTCAGGTGTGCATGGCGTGCACACGTGGCCAAACGCTTAAACAGCAGAGTACACCTCCTCTTCCTGGGCCTGGCGCCTTCCCAGGGACATCTCCACACCTTCCTCTCCTGCCCCTGGCTGTTGTCCGTCCATCTGTCTTTCTCTCCTGTCCCTGGAGGGGGTCGGGGTAGGGGGGCAGGGGGCAGGGACAGGGCACACGGCAGATTAATATGGCCCTGGTGTTCCCAGAGGCCGGGGCCGTCCTAATGATGGGGCTGATAGAACGCAGAAGTGTGAAGAGAATTTTAATAGATCTGACAAGTCTAATAAGAGTTTGTGTCTGGAAGGGTCCTCCTCTGGGGCCGCGGGCTGACAAGATGCTGACGGCTGAGATTTGTTTACGGGTTGGCATCACAGCCACATCTCCTGCCAACTCCCGATTAATCTAATTTGCGACGTTTAGAGCCCAAGCGTGGGTACCGGGCAGAGAAGGGGAGACACGGAGAGACAGAGGGACAGGGAGGGCCGCTGACAGAAGCCGTAATGAGAAATGCCACAGCCCTGCCCTCGCCGGCCCGGGCTGGACCCCAGGGAGCGGCAGGCCGTGCGGTGTTATGGGTGCCCTTGAAGTTGGCTGGGTCATCAGTAAAGTTTGGCTTCTCCATGTTTCCTCGCTCACCTTGACGGGGCCTAGGGAAGCTCCTACTACGTGCTGGGCCATGGCTGGTCACTGGGAGAAACTAAAGAGGAAGTAACAGAGACCAGAGGTGCAAACAGGACAGATTCGGGCTCTGTGGGTGGTTCTGGGCCAGCAATCTTTCTGTGCCTCAGTTTCCACCTTTGTAAAACGGGGCAGCCGGACCTAAAGCATGGGGCTGTTGAAAGAACTCAGTGAGATCATGTCCGCCTAGCACATAGTAGGTGCTCACCTGTGAGGGCTCTCGCTCTGTTGTTCTCATCACTGTTGTCGAAGCCAGACCTTCCCGCCCCGTCCTCAGGAGGAGCCAGGGAGGCTGCCGTCAGAGGTCGGCGTGATGTGGAACATGGAGGCGGAGGCAGAGCCTTTGGAGACTCAGGGAACGTCACCTGACTGGGCCTCGTGCCCTTGGAATAGACTCGTACATTTCCTGGAGTGGGAAGTGGGGCCACGCAGGATCTGGGGTGTGCCTCATACGCTCTAAACTGCTGTGCACGTACCGGGGCTGTTCTATAGGAGGCGCTGGGTGATGTTGGGGGTGGTGGTGGTGGTAGATAGCAGCTTGCAGTAGACAGCCTGGGTTTGAATCCTGCCTCCACGACTTAGGAGCTATGTGATCTTTCAGGGAAGGGCCTCAGTCCATCTGTAACATGGGGATGATAAGGCTCCGTAAGCTGCTTAGAGCAGGAGCAAGCTCTCTGAGTTAGACCTCCTCAGAGGGCGCGCCCTGGAGCCCAGATAAGGGGGGCTCTGAGCAGCAGAAATGGTGTGGCCAGAGTTACAGGGGCCAGAGATGGGAGCTTGTCCCAGGCCCACTCGGAGCAGGGGCAGACCCGGCAGGACAGGTGGCCACCGGCACCTCTGCCGACCAGCTGGGAGCATAAAGGCTGAGTGACCTCGGGGGCGACCCAGCAGCTCAGTGCGGGCCCTGGAGCTGGGAAGCCGAGGGGCACAGGGTCCAGCGCTCAGAGGGCCCAGGGCATTAGCACATTCGTTAGCGCCCTCTCTGCCCAGCCTCTTAAAGCACCTTATCTCACAAGATTCTCATAACAGCCCTGAGAAGGCAGAGTTGTTCTTTCCATGTTATAGACGAGGAAACAGGCCTGCGCCAGCACCGTGATCTGCCCGAAGCCACGTGAACAGGAGGCGGTTGGGCTCCAAATTGCCCACTTTCCCTGTGGCCCCATCAAAGGTCACATCTGATCACTAAATTCCAGTCTGCAGGCCCATGTCTGCTGAGCTCGCTGTGTGCCAGGAACAGTGCTAACCAACCCCTTTACAGGCACGTTCCCCCTCAGTTCTCACACCTCTTCAGCCTGGCTGTGTTACTGTCCCCATTTACAGACCAGGAAACAGGCTTGCATAGGTGAAGTGGGGCGCCCACAATGACACCCTCAAAATTGGCAGGCCCAGGATTGGGACCTAGGCCATTTGACCCCCTAGGCCATATGGCCTCCTCTAGCTCAAAGGCCCCATCGCCTCCCTGCTCCGCCCACCTACCCCAGGCAGGAGCCCTCAACTTTGGGGAGGCATGTAGAGTTACAGGGTCCCTCTTCAGGCAGGTGCGGCGGAGCCTCGTGCTTCCTAGTGCAGCCATCTTTCCATCTTCCTCTGACCTCTGAACTTGAGAGATCCCAGGGGCTGGATGGGCCACAGCCGCGGATGCCGGCTCGGGAAGCGGCAGCTCAGGAGGCCGTGCTCACATGCCAGTCAAATCATTTGGTCAGGGCTGATTTCTGCCGTAGCCTCAGGCAGGTACAGTTAATACAGTCAAGACAACATGTGCGCACGCAGGCCTAGTGGTCAGACCTGTGCACACACACATACTCCGACACATGTACCTGGCCCAGGTGGAACTCACCTGTACAGTTACCTGCACATGCATAAGCATCCCCACTGTTGTTCTACTCATGCAGGTGCACACAACTCACCCACATCTGTGTGCATGTGTGTGCGCATATGCAAGTACTACTTGTGTGAGCATTCATGTTCATGCCCATTGCTACTTCCCCAAGTTTCTTATTTCCACTGTACACACACACACACACACACACACACACGCACACGCACACACGCACACACACACACACGCACGCGCGCACACACACACACAGACGTACACACCCTCAAACTCTCCCCCCTCTCCCCTGGGTGACCAGAATTGACAAGACTAAAGGTCTCAGCTTCCTGCATGTCAGGGCCCTGCCTCCTCCCCTGCCTGGACCCCTCAGCTCACCCGCAAAAACTGCTTTGAGTTCTGAGTAAGTGGCCTTGCTTTGCCTCATCCATGAGCTGGGCTCAGGGCCAAAGGAGGCAGAAGGACCTGCCCTCCTTACTACCTGGGCTCCGTGGGACTCACTGGGCACCCCCCCTACAAGGGATCTGTCCAGAAAGAGGGACTGGTTCTTCACTCAACAACGTGGCTCTCCTCTGGATCTCCCTACAGAACCCACGCGAGAGCTGTGTTTTTTATTTAGTGTTAATATTTGCTGAATGATTGGAGCGGAGGCGAGAGAAAGAGCTTTATGCAGAGATGGATAGGTGGATAGTGGCTGGATGGATGGATGGACAAACTAATGTATGGATAAATGAATGGGTGGATATATATGTGGGTGGATGGCTCGATGGATCGATATGGGACAGATAAAAGAATAGGGAAAAATAACTATAATTTCTAGGAGTTTCTTTTCCTTTTTTCCAGCTGCTGTTGATTACCTGGCCAAAAACGTGAGCCTCTCCACACAGCGCCGCATGAAGCTCGGGGAGCACTCCGCTGTGCTGGGACTCCTGCCCGTGGAGACCGGCCAGGCCTACTAGGGCCCCTGGGGCGACTTGCCCCAGCCCCAGGCCCAGCTTCCCCCTGACTGGTCCCTGAACCTCCCAGCCTCAGTCCCCTCATCGCCCTGGGGTCCCAGGAGGCCAGGAAAGGAGCCCATTCCCTTGTGATAGCCAGCCCTCTGGAGGCGAGCAGCCAGCCTCGCGTGCACCTGTGCTGGGGGTAGCGTGACCCCCACCTTGGCGTCTGCCCCTTTACTTTGTCCCCAGGGGGGTTCCCGGTCAGCCCACAGCCTTGTCCCAGTCAAACCCTGTCACTGTGCGGCCCCTGTGCCATCTGAGGCCCAGAGATGGAGGCTCACCCCGCATAGGGCACCATGAGCACCCAGAGGAGGGTGGGGTCTGGGATGAGGGCCTGTGGGTACCCTGGCCGGAGGCGGAGGAGCTCACAGGCCGCTCTCCACTGGAAGTGCTGGGAGCCAGTCCCTGCAGGTGGGTCTCTGGCCCAGGGTCAGAACCCCAGCCCATCCCTCCTCTGGGTGATGCGACTCCAGCAGAGAGGGAACCCAGCCCTGGGTTTTCCAAGGGGAATTGCCCAGGAAGTCTGAGGACTTTGGGTCCCTCCCCGCACACCTCGCTTGGGTGTCAGGGGGAATCTAGCCCAAGCAGGGAGATTGGGAAAACCAGGAAGAGACTTAACCAGGGGCGTGGCCATGTGGGGATGGGTCAGCAGTGACCAGCCCAAGATACAAGGAACCAGTGAGGCAGCCAGAAGCAGCCGGCTCTTCTACTGAAGCCCAAGTTCCCACTGTGCCCACCCCACGTGGGGCCTGGGGAGCCTGAGTTTTCCCATTCACTGGATCGGGGGAGCGAGGAGAAGGAGGGAATGAAGTCTTGAGGACCCATGAGCAGGAGGCGTAGGGCAGGCTCAGAAGGGGGTTGGTAACTGGGGTGCCTCTGCTTCCGGGCAGCAAACCTTGGCACTATGTAGCTTTGATTCCACACGAAGCCTCCGCAGAGACCCGAGCCCGTCCTGCGTGCTCATCTCCTAGGAGGGGCCTCCACCCCCGGCGAGTCCCTTTAGGCTGCTGGGTGCAGGGTCCTTGGGCCCACAGGGACTGCTTGTCCCACAGACAAGGCCACCGACTCCCCTTGGCATTTGGGGGGGCGAGTGGACGTGACCCTGCCCCTCCCAGAGTGGCATCTTTCCGTGTTGAGTCACTCTCGGCCAAGAGGCCTCTGTCTCCTGATCCAGCACAGCTGCGCAGGGACAGATGTGGCCAATCTTCAAACCGCCACCCCTGGGCAGAGGGGGCCGCCTTCCTCGGCCACGCCAGTGGCTCCCTCCAGCTCCTCTTTAGAGTTGAGACCCTGGGGGAATGGCTTAAGCCCCAGGCTACACCTCCCTTGGAACTTTCACCACCTTCACCTATTTATCAAAATTATATTCATCTTCGCCATCAGCACCATCGTTATCTACGCTTGGATCACCTTTCTCAGGTGCTGCTGGGTAAGAGGCTCTGTGACGGGAGGCACGGCACTGACTCCACAAAGACTGGACCAAATTGCTTGTCCCCCTTGGGGCACACAAGGCCACCTCTTTGCTCACCCCATGTCTTGCCCTCAGCCAACAAGACATTCCAAAAGGGACGGGCTGCTGCGTTGGGAGTTGGCTGAGTTCCTCCCTCGGGGGAGCTGGGACACTCTCCCGCATGGACGTCACCTCCGTGAAAGATGCTCACGTGTTTCTCAGCTTCAGACGCAGTCATGTGACGCCTGTCCTGGACCAGGCCAGGGGGCTCGTATCTCGGGCTTGGAGGAACTTGCTAGAAGTTGGGGACACCCAGACGTGTGCAGCCCATCCAGCTCAGCCCAGGTTTCAACTGGAGCGTCCGCTGCAGTAGACTTTTGGCTCGTTAAGCTCTGGACAAAAGGAGGACTGTTGTACCCTTGGTGACCCAGTCCATGCGTCTGTAGCTCTCCCAGCCAGGAAGCAGCTCTTCCTTCGACCACAATCTTCACCCACATTCCTTGACTGGTCCCTCCTTCCTCCTGGAGACCTGGCTCAGGAATCACCTGAGCCTCTTTATGCCCTACGTCGCCCAGGCGCAGGGATGCCAGGCAGGTGACATTCCAATGCTGGGACCAATCCAAATCTCTGCCCCCTGTGATGAAACGGGAACAAACCAAATGATTTCTCATTACGTTCGGCTTCTCTGGAGTTCCCCCAAGCCACCGTCTTGGTGTAGAAAATGGGACTCATTCCCCCAGGTGCCCACTCCCCTCAGAAAGAGGCCTTGGCCCAGACAGCTTTTCCCTAAAAGCTCACTCATGGCTTTGCTTAGCCAACTCGGTGTAGAAAATTCAGTCTTGGGGTTGGCAGCTCACAACCTCACCAGAGAGGTGGTGTGGGATGAGAGGGACAAGGCCTCAAACTCTCGAGGGTTGACCACAGCCTGAACCCCAGCGGCTAGACCAGCCCAGAAGCGACCCCCCTCCATCCCTGCGAATAGTCTGTAGCAAAATAAGAGATGTGTCCTCCAGCTTCTCACACGTCGCTGGCGGCCCTCCCTACGGGCGGCCCCTCTCCGGAGCTCATTGTACATTAGTTGGAAACGTGGTGATGTGCTGTTCGTCTCTAGGAAGTTGACTTTTCTATCTATAAATATATATCCAACAGGAAAGAAACCCCACAGTGTGTGTCGTGCTAGTACCAGGGACCATCTGTAGGGATATATCTGCATATCGTGTGTTTCAAAGTATACATTCCAGGCTCTCTTGGGTTCTTTCATGTTTATTGCTTTGTTTTTCCCGTTCGGTATTTCTCTCTTGCTATGAAAAAAAAAAAAAGGCAATGTGTAAGAACCAAGCTACGCTTTTATACTCGTATATTTTACTTGATTTACCTTTGCCGTTCTTTTGCCAGAGGAACATGGAGGAGAAGGGGGGCGGGGGATGAGAGAGAAGGGAAGGATGAAGAGAGGTTGGCCCAGAAGAAAACGGAGAGCGGATGTCCGGTCTGGCGGTGGCTTGAGGACAGAAAGGTCCCAGGCTTTGGCCTCTCAAGTCCAGCGTGTCCATGGAGCTGGTGAAGCAGCCTGTGCTGTGCATTGTGGAACTTGGTGAAACTCCATGTTTGCCCCAAAAGGACTTCCTCTGGGGCCCCTCTCAGATGGAGGTTCCTCCCAAGCTCCCAAATGCGCCCTTCACTCTTGGACGCTTTTTGAGGTCGATGCAACTTCTCTCCTCCCCTCCTTCAGAGGCACCAAACCCAGACCAAATGGGGGGTCTCCAGCCGCCATCGTGAAACGCTCAGAGACACGGCGCATCGAATGCGTTCTCTGCCAACTGTAAGGTGGCCGGTCCCCGGCTTGGGAACAATCTACGCGGCACTCTAGATCGTTCCTCCTTCCTAGTAACTGCAACTTGGTTGCATCCATGTTTGACTCGCAGCCATTTTCCTCCACGTGGAAGTGAGCGTGTGTGCATGGACGTGTGCGTGGGGTGTGCGTGTGGACGCGAGGGTGTGTGTTTAAATATAATCGCACCATAATTTATTCAGCTATATGGAGTAGTAGACTAGAAAGAGAACCCGGCATTCGCTTTAACTACCTGCTTGTAAGCGCTTCCTCTGTAACTCAGGCGTAACTGTTCTACATTAAAAGAAATTAAAAGCATTTGCAAGGTTCCTTGTCTTCACTTGGTTGCCATTATGCGACTGCCCTAACAGAGACCCAAGTGCTTTGACGCAATTTAGAGGGTCAGGCTAGGAGCTACTTTTCTTTCACACCCCACCGGGCCCCCCAATGGCAAGCAGCTGCTGGATACACAGTGGATACCTCGTCAATATTTGATCGATGGATCCTGTTGCTGAGCACCTCTCTGGGAAAGCCTCCGTTCTCTTCACCACGACCAACTTCTGCAGCTTCTCAGCTTAGAACCCTCTTGGCCGTCTCCTAGGACACATGTGGGGGTGAGAGCTCAGAAGCTTCCATCTTGCAGTAGAAACGGAGGCTGATGGGAGGGCTCCTGGGCAGGTGACTTCTTGAGGGAGAGCCCTCAAGAGAGACCCATAAGGGAGAGAAGGAAGCAAGAGAGGGCCAGGGAGGGAATGAGCAAAGAGGGAGGTTTAACTGGAGTCTTGCTTCATCCTAATACTGGAGGGAGCTGGGCGTGAATCATAGCACAGAGTTAGTCTGACCATGAGACCAGGGACTGGCCTTTTGTTCCCCAGTATCTGTCATTCATTGGCTGTTGGCTGTCCCTGGGGATGGGGGTGGGTGGGTAAAGGACTTACTAGGCGCCTCAGCATCTCTGGTTACAGTGGCTCCTAGGGGCTGAGGCCAGTTCTCCAGAGAAAGGTGTGGCAATGAGCCCTTAGCAACAACATTCATACCAGTTAGAGGACAGGTGTGCTGGCCCAGCAATGAACATCTGGCCCAGGATCAGCAGCGTCTACTCACGTATGCTCCCCTGGCTCTAAACCAGGGTCCCCAGGTCCTTCCAGGGTCCCCATGTCATTCCAGGCTCCTCATGTCATTCTAGGGTCCCCATGTCATTCCAGGGTCCTCATGTCATTCCAGGATGCTGGTTTACCTGGATGGCCTGAAGAGGAAGGGGCGTGGTGGGGCAGTAGTTGGGAAAATTGTACAAGAAGGGTTCATAAGGTGTTCCTGTGGACCTGGTCCATTTCAACCCAGCCCAGTTCTCCAGGGCAGCACCCAGGGTCTGAGACAAGGGGAGGGCTGCCCCAGCACCCGCCTCCAGGTAGAGTCCCTGCAGTGTGGGGAGCTCTGTTCCAGCCCCTGTGAGTTCCAGGCAGCTGCTGTCAGAACCAGGGCTCCCAGCCACATTCCACCCCAAGTCTGTTACCCCTCCCCCCACCCCAACCAGGCGGCCATCACTCAAGGAAGGAAGGTATGAGGGAGAGTGAAGAACTAATCAAGTTCTACTCTTAGCTCTGCATATGACTTGCTATGGATCCCGAGACAATCTTCTCCCCATCTCAGACCCTAATTCTGTGTATTTTTTTTAAAAGCAGG